CAGAGCCCCAAACCTGCTGCCCCTCGAGCAGCGCAGACCCCACTGCTCCCAAGTGTCTACACCCCGGGAGGGACAGAAGTACAACCAGCTCCTGAAACACCCCAACACTGAGGGGGCTCGACAAAACCAAGTCTCATCCTGCTCCTTCTAACCAAGCACCAAGCCAGAGAGACCAATAGTCTGAAAAAAAATCAGTTGGTTTTTGGCATTTATCCTATTTCTGCCTGCATGGGAAAGGGGCAGGCTCCCAAGAAAGCAAAACACACCATGCTTCCAAGTAAAGTCCATGGTATAGCAGCCTCCCACAGCCCAGATGGCCACGAGCCACCACGCCACTGTCCCACCAGGCGAGGGGAAAGCATCCTACTGCCATCCCTGGAGAGGGTCCCTCCGGTTGCCACATGCCCCAACCTCCATCCCCAAGATGCTGTGAGCTGGAGCAGCTCCAGAGCCCACCCGCACTGCCTGCAGCCCTGGCCCCGACTCTGCCGGGCCCGGTGACACACGATGCCAGCGAGCCCAGCACTATCAATAATGCAGTGGGGTCAGCGTCGGCTTCCCCACAGCTCTGCCACATGCTGGCCCAGCTCCTGCCTCTGGGACACGATTGAAGTGCTAAGCCCAAAAGTAAGCTTGTCTTTGCTGCTGCTCCTGCAGCACCCAGACCCCTCACCATCCCCATGCAGCCCTGTAATTTTTTTTGCAGGGACATGGCCACAGCTCCTCGGGCTCTGTGCCAGAGGGTTCCCCCAGGCTGTTGCCAGCACAGCAAGAACCTCACCCAGGTTCACTGCCCTCCCCGATCCACATCTCCCCACAGGTCTGAGCCTGCCATCGAGGCCTGGGGAGTGCAGGATGCTGCAGGGAAGTGCTTTAATTTAAGCCATGCATTTTTTTTTTCCTGTGTGTTTTTTTTTAATCACATAATTACTGCAGACATTTCTGCTCATGTTAGGTTTTATTACATCTTTGTGGTTATTCTACAAGCCCTAAATTTTGGGCCTCAACTGAGTTGGCAAAGTTCTCCAAAAACATCTGTCCCGAGTTACTCCCCTTCCAGCACTCTGGCAGAAAGCTGGCGGCTGAAGATGTTGCAACACAGTGTTTTATTTGCAACAGAAAAAGTTCTTATTCCTGACCCAAACAGAAGTGTAAATATTTACTGCCTGGATGTCAGCGCTGGCCCCACACCTGTGGGTCCCGACAGGCACCCACGTGCTCATCCATCCTCCTTCAGGACAGTGTGCGGGTCCCCAGGCACACCAGCTCCTCTCGAGGAGCTTGCAGGAGGTGGCATGCAGGAGGCTCGACGCCTGCTCACTGTCACAACAAAGCACCAGCCACAACCTCCAGTGTTGGTGAGGGTCACCCATTCTCCTGCTGTTTGCCAGCAGCAATGCTGCAGTGACACCGTCCCCCCTAAACAGATTAACAACCAGCTGCAAATTCCCCTATATTAAAACTCCCAGACTCAACAGGCTGCTTGAATCCAGCAGCTAGAAGATGTGGGTTTGTTTTCCAGAAGATAAACACCAGCTGTAAAGGTCCCTTTGCACACCCACCCCCGTAGTTGTGCTTCGGTGCAACCAGAGCTGCGATGGCAGAGAATCCCATCACACCGAAGGCATCCCAGTGCCTTCCCTGTTGTTCTTGTTTCTCCTACAAACACACCTGGAGAAAGCAATGAGGCAGCAAATCCCAAGGACGCTGTTCACTTGGCTCATTAACCCACGTGGGCATAACAGGGGTCCCAGCAACACCCAAAGGCACTGCCAGCGCACTGTGATCACTGAACACCCCCAGGCTGGCCGGCAACATCCAGGCCAGCACCCAGCAGCACTGCTCAGCACCAGCCAGCCCCGCAGCACACCAGCTGTTAGCCCAGGCATTTAATTAACAGCCACCACCAGCTCACACCACTGTCTCAAAGGCACCTTTGCAATAAAAACTGCTCAGCACCCAACACAGCCCCTGACAGACACCCCCTCACCTGCTACCTCTGAACCTCCCAGGGGACTCAGTGATGGGTGCCAGGCAGAACACAGCCCATGGCCATGAGAACGTGTTTGGTACAGGGGAGTACATGGCATAGGGGTTTTCCCAGAGGACACAGCATGGGACAGGCAGCGAGCGGGCAAACCCCTCCAGCACAGGCAAGACATGGGATGGGGCAAGGCAGACCCTGCTCCCCGTGCCACGAGTCCCCAGGGTGCCAGGGAGGGTGCCAGCAGCCCTGCTGACCTCCTCACTCAGGGCAGGCAGCCTGATTTTAAATACATGCTGAATTATTCATAGCATTACCGTGGTTCCTGGAGGACAAGGTCCTGGATGCCAGGTCTCTGCCTGGGGTGCACATTGACCTCCCCACCCACAGAAGCTCTCCCGGGGGGGTCACTCCTCTTGGAAAGTAAGACTAGGGCAGCATGGGGGGAGGCTGGCAGGGCCCTGCCAACCCTGCCTGCAGCCGCACCTCCCCACTGCCCAGCACTACAGCTGCCCTGGTTGCCAGATTTCCCTCCTCTTTGTTTCATTTATTCGTTGCTTCAGGCTGCACTGAACAACCCGGCCTCAAATGAAGGAAAACTGCAGCCTTTACATAAACAAGTGTTGCTCAGAAAAAATACTGCTCCCCGGGAGCAGCCTGGAGCATCAGCACCAGTTCCTACAGGGGCAGGTTGGGGCCAAGGGAGCTGCCTTTTCTCCTCCTTCAAGTGCCTCCAGGAAAGCTGCACAAAAGACTTAAGCGCTGCCAGCCCAAACCCAGCTTCTCACAGTGCCACCCAGCTCAGAGCCTTGTCCCCTCCAAACCTGGTTGGGGACAAGTCTCTGGCTGGACCTCAGCTGCCACAGCCAGGACAGAAATCTCCCAAACAGCCCCCACAGTCAGGAGCTGGGCACCCCACAGGGGCCCAGTGTTGGGGATCAGGCTCAAGCTACCCCACGCAGGGACACGGTGCTGGAGGGTTGAGCACTGCAGGAACTGGGGTGATCTATAGCTCCCCTGGCTTCCAGCTATTTTTGGATCTAGGAGAGCCACATCACCCAGACAAGGAGCCTGGAGCTGGTCTTGAAACAAGCAGGATGCAAGTCTGGCTACTCCAGCCACCCTTGACCTTGTACCAGGGTCACTCAAGGCCCCCGAACAGAGAAGTGACCTTGGCCAGGAAGGCTGTAACACCCAACTCTTCAAAGAGTTGCCGCTCATGGAGGCAGGAACAAGCCAGTCGCTGACCTGAGCCTCTGCAAACATCCAACATGCTCAGCTCTGCCCTCCCAGCAGCCCCTGTCCCCCACCCCACAGGGTGGGCATCACCCCCAGAGTGGGTTCCTTTTGTCCAGCTCAGGCTCCCCCAAACACCAGCCCCAGCTCTGGCACAGCAAGCACCAAATACCCCAGCTGCAGCCCCCAGCCAACCCCCTCAGCCCCTCTGAGTCGTCTCGCAGGTGCTTCTCCCCCCTCGCACCCCAGCCCTGCCTGGTTCTCCCTGTCCCACCCTCCTTGAAACCCAAAGGCCGGAAAGGACCGTCCTGTTCCCCTTGCCTGACTTCCCGTCAGCACATGATGTTGGATTGCACCCAGCAAATGAAACAGAGGATAGGAAATCCCCAGCTTGGAAAGCCACCCCCAACCATGCCCAGCCACCCCCAGGAACAGCTCCTCTCCCACCAGTCATCCTGGGGGTGAGCAGCCTCCCACGGGAAACACACCCATCATCATCACACAGAGCTTCAAACAGCTACAAATCATGCAATAAGGGAAAAAAGTAAATACTGCCTCCAACGCTGCCCCTGCCAGCCCCAGGAAAGGGGGTTTCCTCCTCTGCAAGGGAAGGGGAGGACTGGAGGTGAGACACCCCACCCC